CCATTATGAGACACTTTACTATAATTCACATAATCTTTTCCAGATTCTAATTATAGTGATCTTGGAGCTTATGTTAATATTCTTTTTAATATCTCCAAGTTTTCTTAGCGCTTAACAGTCCAAATGAATAACACGTCTTTCCTCAATAGTTTAGTCAGAGGGAATATAATCATCAAAAATTTCTTTATGAACCTTCGATAGTAACCAACAAATGCCAAGAAACTTTGAAATTTAAAAACATTCTTTGGAATTTATCATTCGACTCTATCTCGTGCTTCCTTTATATATATATTCTTATCCCCTTAGCTGAGTCCACATGGCCAAGGAATTCAATCTTAGACAACCAACATTTGCATTTGGTCAACTTAGTATGCAATTTTTCTCCCGAATAGTTAGAAGAGCTATACAAAAACAAACATTGTATTCTCCCCTGGTCTTATAACATATAACAATAATATCAATGAGCACTACCACCAATTAATCCAATTATAACTAAAATACTTGGTTTATCCAATCCATAAGTGTCGCAGGAACATTCGTTAAACTCAATGACATTATCGCAACCTCGTAGTGTTCATATCGAATTCTGAAAACTATCTTAGGAATATCCAACTTGGGAGACACCAAATCACTCTTTTAACTAATCAAAAGTATATCAATCCTCGGAAGAAGGTGCTTGTTCTTCTTTGTTACCTTATTTAATAGACGATAATCTATGCATAATTTCATAGACTCATCTTTCTTTTTCACAATAACACTAGTACGTCCCAAATGACACGCTTAGTCTTGTAAATTTCCCATTCTTAACAATTCTACTAACCATGTCTTTAATTCTTTGAGCTCATTAAAAACCATTTAATATGGGCTATAGAAAAATTGCAATACCGAGAAGCATCTCTATTTTACTTTCTACAACTCAATCTAGATGTAATTCTGGTAATTATTACAGATACACAATTGAATACTCTCAAACAATTGGAATAACTTCCAACTTAACTAAGAAAGTTTGAGTATCCACCTCCTTTACTAAGAAGGTTTAATAACCTAGTAGCAATAACTTTATAGCAATTGATGCTAAAATCACATTAGAAAACAAATGTACTCTCTTTCCCTACCACAAATAGCTCGAAACTTTTTGAGTTCTATAAAATTCAATCGCTCTAAGAGATAATTTAATGCAACATGGTAGGGGTAACCAATCCATTCCAAAAATTACCTTTGAAATGTAATTCTATCAAGTCTATTATAAATTAACACATTGAATCCTTATGAGGAAATTATTGTCTACTAATACGATTCACCCTCGTACTCTAGACAAAAAAGGTTAATCGTACACATATCACATAGGATCAATTGTAGCAGAATGCTTCATTCTTTCATCAATACTCTACTTATGCATAAATGAGGGTTTTCTTTAATCCAACATTGACATTTCCTATTGTGCCAATACATCATCTTGTTAGACTAAACAGTAGAATGATGGTTAACATCATTACTATCTCTATTAGCTTATTTTTTAAACATTCTGCTCAATCACGTACTTCAAACCCTCGAATAAACACATATTTTTCATTCACTATATTTATTCACTAATATAAGTAAGGAGGGGCATCAATCAAACCTTATAATCACCAAGTCAGTAACAATGACATCCTAGTAGCATGTATACCCTTTTTAACTCAAAAGAAGCTTGGTTTGATCCTAGAATCAGCTAAACTTGTAGCTCTGATACCAATAAATGTAACACCCATAACCCATATACGCAAACCAATATGAGTTACAGATGTCACATCAGAAATTTAGCACATTTCTTTAATTTAACTGAGTGAAATTTTGTTTCATTCAAACATCTCAAGCTTCATAACATAAACAATTATTATAAAATAATTATTCAGAGTAAAATCATAATATAATATTGTTGGTTACCAATTCAAAACCAATTTCAAGCAGTGATAGACACTTATGTTCTATTTTCATAAAATAAATAAAACTATCAAACACATTTGATTTAAAACCCAAATTAATTTTTGCTAAGCATAGTTTAATATCATAATATTTTATTCATACTATTAATTATATTTAATACTAACTATATTAAGAAATTGTAGACAATTCATTCTCGTATTCATACCAGCTAAGGCTTTTAGAACACAGTAAGATGTCATCACTATTACCTGTAAATATTTCCTTGGTGGTTGATGTTAAGCTCAGCTCCTTCCTCATTTTTCCTACGTGTGAAAATCATCACACACTAAGTATACACTTGGCGAGGCAATCATATGAATATTTAAAACAATGCAACAGATAAATTTAAATGAATAACCATATTCAATGCAATATGATCACTTTACATGTATTCCAACCACGTTACCATATATTGACATGATATGACTGGCTATCAAGTTTCTTACCAATATCCTTGTCATTCATTCCACAAGCTCGTAAGCTTATTTGTTTTTACCATTTATTAACTAATAAACCATAGCCCAAACTAACCTTGAGACCCTGCGTATTTGAGTCAAACACATGCACTTTAGTGTTAAACATGCACTAAGCTTACGCTCTAGTGTTAATCTGGATATGACACATAAGGTCGTGCCCACCACCTACACTAGGTTTACACTCTAGTGATGATTTCAATATGACACATAAGGTTGTGCCCACACCTGAACCTAGTGTCCTTACACACTAGTGCTAATATAAACCTGTAGCAGCTATACTCTATGGCATGCCAACTATACCTTGTCCTTCAATGACTTACTTGGGCATATAGTCTATTTTATTTGATACATCCATAGCAAAGTATATTATCATAATTTAACATTGGACAGTTCATACCTGAAATATCATTCATGTTAAATATCATATATATTCATGATAAACATCGTATGTAACGATCAGTGATCAATGCATTTTATATTTAACTTTTGACATATTTAGAACATGTTAAATATATGATATATGACATAAATATCATGTCAATATAAGTAAGGTAAACTTATCACAAGTCCTACCAAATGATGTATAAAAAATCCATATATAATGTTATGTATGCATTGCACTCATTTTTACATTATATGCAAGTCAAAAGTAAGCCTCACTAAGCTTTAACTTGATCATTTGCTTCTAATTTGGTTAAATCCCAAAATTTGTCGTAATTTCATATTCCGGTAGTTTGGACTACCTTTAAAGAAATATTAACATTTAAAAATGATTATGTTTATACCAATGAAAACTAGAATCAAATATGAATCTATCTATATAAGGTACTTCTTCTAGTTCAATTTGTACAATATATGGTGAATTTTCAAAGTTAACCGACAGAATATGTTTTGTGCAGAATCTGCTGTCCCATTTTCTGACCTATCCTCGATTAAAAATTTATATCTTTTTTTATACACCTTAGAATAAGTTTCTGTTTGTTCTAAATAAAACAAGACTGGTATAATAATCAAACGATATAGAAATCACCTACTAATCATTTTTTTATAATTTATAGTATTTTTTAAACTTATTGTCCAGAACATAAATTCTAAGTAGATTTAACCAATTTGCATTTTTCAACTTGTTCACTAATTCTATTTTCTCAGCTAATGCACATATATGCATGCATCACAAATCACATACCATTTTAGGAGTCACTCCTTACTATAGTAACTCCGTCACTGGCTCATCGTAAGCCAATGTTTGTTCGATAACATAAGTACAAATTAAATTTGCACTCACATAGTCTCCTTAGCTTGCAACCTTCCTTAGAATTTTTCATTTCATCCTTAAGCTTCTCCTTAGCTTTAATAATATTTGATCTTGATTTCAAGCACTAAATCTATAAATGAATATCATTACCAAACATATACAAATTCAAACCAAATGTTAGAATCTTACTAACATATGTATACTTTGGAAATTAAATTCCTAACAAATTTGTCGATGCTTATTCGATACAATTTTCATGTCACAACATAAATATTGACCTTAATATTTCTAATTGACCGCTCAAGTTCCTTTTATCCCAACTTCACATAACATTTTCACTTAAGCTCCTAACCTTTCCATATTTTTGATTTAAACCTCAACTTTTACAAGCTTTCCAAAATAATTCAATTTCACATCCTAACTTCAATTTCAACACTCAAACATTAATTTGCATCATAGTACATCAAATATTGAACAATTACACAATAATCCATAACTTTTCCAAAATTGTTGATTTGGTTCCCCAACTTTTCAAAAATTACATAATAGTCCCTAAATTTTTCTAAGGCTTGTAGAATACTTTCTACAGTATTTCCAGCCACTACATAATTTTTATATAATTTTTCTCATCCTCTATAGTCATGGCCAAATGCTTTGTATGTTCAAGATTAGGGTTTTCATGATTTTACTCAATTTTGATTTGATTCAAACCTGAAATCAACTTCAATTCAACCTTATAAAATCTCTACAATCAAACCCCTAACTTTATTTCATCAAAACACATCTTTCTCTAAAGATTAGGGTTAGGCCAAAACTTCACATGTTCATATAATCATGTACAAGTGATTTTAATCATCAATCATGCTTGGAAATGATTCTACGTCCTCAAAAACATCAAAATACTTCATCAATTTCATAAAACCTAATGTGAACATAAACCCTAAAATTTGGGATCTATGAATACAAAACAAATTAGCAAGCAATAATGGTATCAAATGATAGTGTTTTTCGAATAGAACAATTTTCTATTTCACGGCATGATAAAAAAAACTAAAGAAAATTGCTCAATAATGAAAAATAAAAATTCTCTTACCTTGTTATGAAGGAGAACGAAATATTGGCTGAAAAATGGCTTATTTTATGAAATTCTGGTTAATTTCATGTTAATTTAGCATTTATCTAAGCTTAAATAAATTTTTTATTTATTTAATGTGAAATGTTCATTTTACCATTAATGAAACTTGATATTTACCACAATATCAAGCCACATAACCTTATCATCTTTCCAAAGTAAAAAATGAACAAAAAATTTTACCTTTTTCCAATTTTACCAAACAACTTTTCAAAAATTGCAATCTTACCACTTTGATCCAACGGTCTAAATTAAACATGTAAATAAATCTTCAAATCCAATGATTCATATTATTTTCTATCATTTTAAAATGTGGAAATAATATTGCTAAGCTTAATTTATCATCCTTCAAATTTTCATGAAAATTTTATTCGATCTGATTTACCTAATTTTTACCGGACTTTAACACATTCTAGTTTTTAACACAATTTCCAGATCAAGAATCTAATTTCAATAAAACCCCACTCTCAAGAGTAAACTATCCATTTATGGAATAAAAATTCCTTTTAGAAAAATTACCACTTAGGTCCCTAAATTTTTTCCAATTTTTTTCTTGGGCTACCAAACTTTCAAATTTTATATTTTAGTCAATAACTAAAATTTTGGGGTATTACAATTATTCTCCCTTAAAAAAATTCATCCTCAGATTTTCAACGTACATGATGTAAATAGATAAGGATATTGTTTATTCATATCCTGTTCTTTTTTTTCGATTATCTTTTTCAACCTTTAATTTCTAATAAGTACTTTATTTTTCCAACTCCTCTTTAGCTACACATTGTTGAAGCCTTTTCCGGTAGATTTCTTGAAAAAATAGACATTTCGGATACTCCAATCCAAATAGTATTATAATGTTGAAAATAGAAACATGATACCCTAATAGGGAAGACAAAAAGTATCAGCCTTTTCTTTTTCCCAATCCCGCTTCTAATACCTTCATGGATCTCACTAGCCTTTTCTGGATCAAAGTGCAATTCTTCACAAAGATTTTGGAGGAAGGCAACCTTGCTATCTGCCATCTATAGGTCACCACTCTGAAAAGCCTGTGAAAGTCGTTTCTGATATACTTTCGAAGTGACATCAAGTATGATAGCTTCTGCTTCTTTATTACCCAAACCAAGTATGTTCCTCGGTTCAATGCAGTAAGCTAAAGATTGAACACAAACAACACAAGAAACAAGCATTAGGCAACTAAAAGACAATGTAAAGTGAATTACAAAGATAATGGACCGAAACCTAGTAAACCAATACAAAGAACATAAAAAAGGAATGTAGTAAGAAATGGTTTTAATTGATGAAACAAATTCCCCTTGTTACTGTTGAGAAAACAATGAAAGACTCTAATTAGCCAGTTTATACACTGATAAGTTTAAAGTTTCTATGCATTCACGATTCAGAATTTGAATCAACAAAAGTGAGACAAGACTAAGTTCCCATAAAACTAACGGTTATATTTGGGAAATAAGAAAAGCCTCCTAGGTTTGATGCTCTTAGGTTTTGTCAAGAGGTGGGAATAGAAAAACTAAAGGGAGGCAACCAGATCAATAGATGGTGCTTTTCTTTCAACAAAACCTTCATCTTTTCTATACTACCCAAAGGTCTGAAAGTTTCAAAGTTGCAAAAGAATAATAACCATACCAGTTCTAAAACTATAGTAAAAAGAAAAGCTTATAGAATTTACACCTGAACATACATAGAAAGAATAATACCAGCACAAGCACCAACTACTTATAGAAAGTCAGTGGCACTATCTAGTATGTCACTTGCCATAGTTCCCATACAAATAAGGCTATGAAACCTAGCCTGATCCTCTAGTGCCCGCCACAAAGGTCGAAGTTAGAGGCATCCTACAAGGCTCTGTCCCCTACCAACGTCCTAAACTCTTCCCTACCCTCCAAGACTACGATAGTGGGGATCTTCTCGCTCCTTGGAGACCCTGACCCTTTTGGTCGAAGTCTGAGATAGTCTAGTTGAATATAATGCCCTATATCTCTGACCTTATTAACTACCTATCAGACAGGCTCTTAGGTAGTACACCCTCTCGATTGCCTTAGTCTGGAAAGTTCTCTGTAAAGACTTTAAGGGGATCAACTGCCATGTGGGTAAGTATATCCATGTGCAATCATTCTTTAAACCTTATACAGTGAAGGCTCTTGGTCACTAACAATTCTAGTACATAACTGCTCAAACAGATAAAGTCATGCTCAAACTCAAATACATACCAATCACCTTGAACTAGATGTGTGAACTGGTCCCTCTAGTTATTAGTGTGTGCCTCTCCTTATGTTTATGTCTAAAATCTACTAAAAAGAACTCCCGTGCCAGCCTCTCTAGCTCTAGAGCCAACTCGACTATCTCCCAAAAGTCGATGACATCACACTTCAACAATACGGTGACACACTCAAGCTTACCCTCAAGGGTAAGGTGTAACTGTGTAAGAGTACGAAGAGTCTCACAAAGACATTGTTCAGCAAAAATAGGATCATTACCCTCAAACCCAATAAATCAATACTCTTATAGCGACAGAGTCTCTGTGAAATAGGGTATTACAAGTGGTGGAACGTATGGTGCGATTACGACAGACGCTCTTGAGATGGCTTTAACGATATACCTACGAGCAGTTGTGAGGCTCCTAAATAATGTGGCCTCATCAATTCTCGCAACCTCTAAGATACCTTTATCCTCGAAGTTGTGACAACCTCATCGTCAATATATTTAATGAGTGAAACATGGATCTCGTCTCGCACCTCCTGACTACAAGCGAGATCATCAGACATATCCTACAAAATTCAAAGAAAAAAGGAGTCATTATTGCTAATCTAGATGTTTAAGTACTCTTAACACTCTAGAGACATGTACTTTAATACACTTATTGACTCTAACCCACGGGTCCTAGGAACAACTAAAATTGACACTCTGATACCAATAAATGTAATACCTAAATCTTATCAGAACCAACATTCGATGGATTTGGATATTACAGTGGACCATATAAGTCGCTAACCATTTTTTTGAAAATATTTCTCAACATTTAAGTACTCATCCTTAAATAAAAAGAAATAAAAACGTTTAAGTTTACAAATGGGGAGCTCTAAAAATAGTATCTCAAATATAACATCCAATTTTAATAAAAGAGTTATGACTCAATTACACATAAGGTCTATGAATTAAATGCCCTCTAAAATAACTAAGACGTACTCTGAAACTCTTCGAAATATGGACTCCATAATATGACAATAAGCTCCTCAATTGGCACCTACTGACATACGAACGAAAAATAAATTCTGATTATTAAGCTACGAGCTCAATGTCATACAGGTAACTCTATAATAATACATTCATCCTTTAATTGTGTATGCTAGAAAGTATGGTCATGAGCAAATGAAATACATCAAGCATAAGACATAGAAAAATATCGAATATAATTGTATATATGAAACGATATGTATATTGTGGCTTTGCCATCGATTAATGAAAGTGTCTTAGCATTAATACTAGAGTGTCTCGATATTGATACGGAAGCGCATTTGCATTGATAATAAAGTGTCTTTTCATTGATAGAAGAAAACATAAATATCTCATACACATTTATTAGAAACAAAGCTTATGTCTATGTATCATTCCTTTATAACGTTCGTAATTATCACACAATATTTGAGGTTTTCACTTTCAAGTTTATTAGAGTCATTATGGTGATTTGAAACACTTCCTAAAGCTGCCCAATTCAGAATGGGTACCAATAATGACCCCTTCAGTATCGATACCCACTCTTGGTAACGATACCAAAATGGGCTACTAGAATTTGAAGAAAATTGATAGTATTGGTACCCCTATTTGGAGTATTGGTACTTCTGTTATGGGGTTTTAATATCATCCTAAGTATCGATACCAAAATTAGGTTATATGTTTGAGAAAATCAATTTTAGTATCAACACCCCTACTTCATATGGTAGCGATACTCTCATGAGCATCAATACTAAAACTGGCTATTGGAATCTAAAGTCTGAAGATGGTACCTATACCCTATCCTTGGGTATCGATACCACAAGCAAAAAATCCTATATTTTAGGCTATCAAAAGAACAATATTGGTATTTTTCATATAGTGCTGATACTCAAACCCATAAGTGCTCTCCTTTGAGCATGAAAATAACAACCAACTTTTCCCACATGTCCCTCCCTTAAACATTATTTAAGTCTAATGAGAGTTTAAGAGAATCATAATATCTTTTTAGAGAATAATGAACATTAAAACACCCTATTTCCCTCATGAATCACCCATAACCCAAAATGCACACATGTACACATGAAAGCAAACAAATCACCCCTGATGATCTATAAGTGATATAGGTGACTTAGGAGTTTCACTAAAGAAAACTTGGTATTTAACAACGTTTACATAAAAAAAACCACAAAATAGCAAAATTAGCGGTGTTTATGTAAATGTGCCGCAATAGTCATGTACTTTTAGCGGTGTTTCTGGGAAGAACGCCGCTATAAGCTGTAAATACATGTACATTAGTGGCAATTTTATAACAAATGCAGCTATAGATATGTAATTGGTGGCGTTTTTCTAGAAAACGCCGCTATAAGATTCATGTATCCCCATTTGTCTCGTGTACTATCCCTAATTTTTCTTTTCTACCTCTTTTTCCTCCATCTTCAACAGTGGAGCAGCCTCATTAAATATGGTTCTTCGTTCTTCTCATTTTCTAAAATAATGCTCTCTCGAAGCATTATAACCATCAATAGAGGTTGCAACCAAGTCAAGCTTTGCTCTCCACCAATTTTCTCTCTCCCTTTCGCGTAGTTGGAAGCATCGTTGGAGATTTCTCCATCAATTTCTCACTTCACAAACAGAAGAAAAATCAAAACCGTAAAACATTATTTTTCACCACAAACTGTTCAAGTAAGCTCTCTTCTCCTTTCCATCTCTCATTTATTAATTTTTTTTTTAAATTTGTTAAACACTGTCGATTTTTTATATGAGACAAGATTTTGGGTTCTCTGTGCAGTCTCCGACAAGATTCTAGTAGATCTCATCGTCAATATCTGAATTGCTTTATGAGAAACGCTTAATCGAGAGATATAGTGCGGTTCATCTCTTTTTATCTACCCCTTTGGAAAACAATTTCTAGGTTTTATGTTTGGTTTCTCAGTAACTTACATTCAAATTTCATTTTCTAGCTAAAAAGAAAAAGGATAGTCATAAAACTGTAAATCTGAAATTTAAATGGTTCAAACTCGTGGATAGCACAAGGAGCAGCTCAAGCGTTTAGTGTTATCGACCGTCTGATTTTAGTTTTATCCGTTTCGGAATGTATAGGAATCTGCTTTTGCTTGTTCTGGATGCACGTTAGCAGGACTAACGGAAACCGAGTCTTCCCGTCGAGTCGCCGGCGTTCCTGTTCCGATCATCGCTTCAAACGTTTCTCCTCTGTTTCTAGTGTCTGTTTATACTGATGGATTAGACAAAATTGTTCGGCAGTTCAGAAAATCAAGACCTAGATTATTTCCCCCCTAAATCTTACGATGGACACCTGACTGTTCTTCCGCCTTTGGATGTTCTAGAAGCTGGAATTTCCGAGTGGAAAATGTCTCTCGTGGGTCAGTTCCTGGGAGTTTCACCTTCTTTTGCCTCTTTGCAAAGAATCGTCGACAACATCTGGGGAAATGCTCTGCAAGGTTCACGAGTACAGGTTAGTTCTGCTGGCAATAACCTGTTTATTTTCTCTTTCACTTCTGAATCTGCTCGTGACTGTGTAATTGAAAATGGTCCATGGCATGTTCATAATAAGCCCCTTATCCTGCGAAAATGGGAACCAAATATGAAAAACCTTAGTTTCAACTTGTCTAAAATTCCAGTCTGGTTCAATCTGTATAATGTTCCTTTATAATTGTATTCTCGAGCGGGCTTAAGTTACATAGCCAGTGCCATTAGAGTCCCTATCTCAATGGACTCCATAACTGCTACTAAATCTAGGCTCGAGTTTGCTAAGGTATGTATCGAATTTAGGGTTAACGAAGCCATTCCTAAATTCATTAAAGTTGTTTTAAGAGATGGACAGTCTACATCGATACAAGTGGAAGTACCTTGGTTACCTATTTCTTGTAAGAAATGCAAGGTATTTGGGCACGACAAAGGTTGTCCTATGAAAACAACCGAAGAAGCTGCAGTTTCTCAAATTTGGGTCAAGAAAGGAGAGAGTTTACCTACTAAGGTTGCCGCTCAGGAGGGAGAAGTTGAAGCAATACTGGAAACAACAAGCAATCTTTGCAATGTTGTGCAAGTTCATCCTCCGAATGAGGAAGTTAATAATGAGGATCATGGAAAATTTAATGATATTGGCGGCTATGAAGATATTGCTCCTAAAAACGTGTTTAAAGAAGCTGTTCCAGTGCAAGATAATAATGTTATCTCTGTGACTGAAAGTGCCAATTCATCTCTTCAAGAAGCTGTTGATGTTGAAAATTCTGCTCAGCATTCAATTCCTTTAAAAGGAAGAGGCGGGCCTATTAAGGATAAGGCTAGGACCTTCTTAACAGGATCTAAAAACAAATATGAAGTGCTAATTTCAGTTGATGAAAATCCTATTAATATTGAAAATCTGCCTAGGAAACCCAGAGCTGCTGCACAGGGAGTTGCAGATTTGGTAGCTACGCTCAAATCAAAAAGAAAGAAAGTCTTGATAAAGCAAAGTGTAATTCGGTTGGAAGTCAGGGAGGGCTCTCGGGTTCTTCTACACAATGATCATTAGTTTTTGGAACATCAGAGGACTAAACAGTCCTCTCAAGCTGAATAAAGTGATTCATCGTGCTAATCTAAATAAGGTTGATGTTCTATGTCTTCTAGAAACAAGAGTCAAGGCTGAAAAATCAGAAGCTATTCTTAGCACAAAATTTTCAAACTGGAATGTTTGCACTAATTATGAGCATGCTATCAATGGTAGGATTTCGGTATTGTGGAGGAAGGGATTAAATTTTTCCATCATTCAAACCTCTTATCAAAGTATCACTATAAAAGGTTCGTTTCTTGGCCTTCCAGTGTTCATTTCTGCTATCTATGGAAGTAATGAAGGGATTGCTAGAAGATACTTATGGCAGAATATTAAAGAAGTCGAAAATACAGTCAATCATGATCCTTGGGTTCTTGGTGGAGACTTTCATATTTTTCTGCACTCTAGCGAAAGTTTTGATCATGATATGTTTGGTCAATATACAACATCAGATATGAAAGAGTTTCAAGAATTCACTCGTGAGCTGGAACTTATTGATCACCCATTCTTTGGACCTATGTATACATGGAGTAACAAACAAAATGATCTTTTCTTGGCGAGAAAACTTGATAGAGTCATGATTAACTCAAGTTGGGCTACTGCTTTTCACCATTCGTTTGTGGAATTTCTGCCCCCAGGAGTCTCAGACCACTGTATAGTTGCTTGGCTTTCTAAAGAGGCCCCTACAAATAGACCAAAGCCATTCAAGTTTTTTAATTTTTGGACTTCTCATAATGGATTTTTGAATGAAGTCAGGCATTCTTTTGCATCAAAGTGCTCAAGGCGATCCTATGAAGATTTTGTTCTCCAAATTAAAATGATTGAAAGAGTGCCTAAAGAGGTTCAATAAGGATAATTTCAGTAACATTTCGGAGTGGGTTAAATTTAAAAGAATAGCCTTAGAGTAACAACAACTTCTCACTTTAAATGGACAGGATGTTATTGATAAGAACTTGCTATTCAAGATGAGTTGAATAATATGGAAGAAGCTGAAAGTATGTTCCTAAGGCAAAAGGCCAAAATCCAGTGGATTAAAGAAGGCGATAAAAACACTAAATTTTTCCATTCCGTAGTAGCCTTCAAAAACAAGAGGGATACAATTAGATTCCTCGTGGATGAAAGAGGTAACAGACTTGAATCCTTTGATTCTATGGCAAATGAAGTGATCAATTTCTTTTCTAATCTTATTGTAACCGTTGATCCCTCGATTAAAGAAATTGACCTTAATCTTCTCCAATCTCTCCTTAATTTCAATCTTCCCTCTGAAGCTTCTTCACACCTTGTCAAAGAAGTTACTGGAGAAGAAATCAAAAATGCAATCTTCAACCAAGGTAACGACAAAGCCCCTGGTCCTGACGGATATACTCCTCTCTTCTTCAAGAAAGCATGGACTATAGTGGGTAAGGATGTTATTGTTGTTGTCAAACACTTCTTCTTAAATGACTACTTGATTCCAGCTTTTAATTTTACTGTTATTGTTCTTGCTCCTAAAGTTCCTAACCCCAGTTCTGTTAAAGAATTTCGACTCATATCCTGTTGTTCGGTCATTTTCAAAGCCATTTCAAAAATTCTGGTTAAAAGACTGACTGATGTTCTTCCTGATATCATTTCTTTAAATCAGACAGCTTTTATTAGAGGCAGAAACATCATTGATAATACTCTTCTTGCCCAGGAGATGGTAAAAGGATATGGTAGGAAGTCCATTTCTCCTAGGTGCACTATTAAAATTGATCTCCACAAAGCATTTGATTCCATTCATTGGGGTTTTATTTCAGTCATTCTCAAAGCCTTACATATTCCACAAAAATTCATCGATTGGACTGAAGTTTGCTTCTCCCAAGCAAGATTCTCCATTTCTTTCAATGGAACTTTAATAGGTTATTTTAAAGGGGCTCGAGGTCTAAGGCAAGGGGATCCTCTTTCTCCCTATCTTTTTGTCCTCGCTATTAATGTCCTATCAAGAATGCTTAACATGGCTGCTACTAAGGGTTTATTTGGTTTTCACCCTAAATGTAAGAAGATAGGACTCACGCATCTTTCCTTCGCAGATGACCTCCTGATTTTCTGCAAGGGTAACATTGAATCTGTTTCTGATGTTCTTAGTGTCCTGGACCTTTTCCATGAAATTTCTGGTCTCAAAATTAATTCGGCCAAGTGCGAGTTGTTTGCTGCATGTCTATCTTCAAGATCCATTGAGGACATCACAAAGTTAACCAACTTCAAAGTTGGTTGTCTCCCTGTCAGATATCTCAGTATTCCTCTGGTCACACGCAAGCTTAATGAGAAAGATTGTGAAGCTCTTCTTGTAAAAATAAAGCAAATACTCCATCATTGGTCTGCAAGGAACCTTAGCTATACTGGCAGACTCGAACTGATTAGATATGTTCTCTTCAGTGTAAGCAATTACTGGTGCAGACAACTAATTTTGCCTGCTTCTATCTTAAAAAGGTTGAGCAACTATGCTTCAGATTTTTTTGGAAAGGAAGTGACAAATCTGCTGCTGGAGCTCGAGTGAGTTGGGAACGGATTTGCCTCTCAAAATCTGAAGGTGGTCTCGGTCTGAAAAACATCAAAAGCTGGAATAGAGCTTGTATTATTCACCTCATAAGAAAAATACTGGCTGGTGATGGATCCCTTTGGGTTGCATAGCTTAAAAGCTATGTCATCAAAGAGAACGATTTCTGGCAATTTGAACCTGCCTCCAATGTCAGCTGGAACACAAAAAGAATTTTAAAAATGAGGGCTGATGCAGTCTCTTTTTATTTAAACTCTCTTCACATGAAGGAAGTTTAGGATGAGATTAGACCAAAAGGGCAGAAAGTTCCATGGCATAAACTTATTTTGTTTCCAATGCATATCCCGAAGCATTGCTTAATCATTTGGTTGGCTCTACATGACAGATTACAGACCAGAGACCGCCTGCAACGAATGGGAATTAGCACTGATACAGCATGTGTAAACTGCATCTTATCTCACGAGACAAGAAACCACCTATTTTCTGAGTGTTCACTAGCAGTCTGCTTATGGAATTCTGTTTTGATATTGAATGGAATGAATCCTACAAACTTATCATGGGAAGAAACGGTTGCTACAGCAAGCACTTCATGGAAAGGGAAATCTCTTATCACCTTCATTTTAAAGATAGCTTGGTCTGCTTTTATCTATACTATATGGCAGGAAAGAAATCAGCGAATTTTCCAAAATTGGTCAAGACCTGCTGCAATTTTGCTAACCGAAATCATTGATGCTGTTCGGTTTTGTCTTAGGGGAAAAAATATTAATAGGCTAGATAGTACTAATCTTAAGCTTTGTAATGCTTGGGGTTTATAGCTCAGCCATTCACTGTCTTTGTTTAGGTGTGCATAGTTCCCTTTTTGTATTGATTGGTTGAATGATATGTAGCAAAACTTTGATGTTTGGATAATAAAATTCTTACTTATCCAAAAAAAAATCTGAAATTTCACGTTTTAAAAAAAGATTTTAAAGTAATTTTGACGGAATTAGCTGCGTTTTGATAGAATGTTTGTTTCTCTGTTTTAATTAGGATTATGGGAAATGTGTAGTTACACTTACAAGGGAGCCACTTACTATGGAGGACATCATGCCAGTCAAAACTGGTAGGTGATTAAACTTCTTGTGATTTGGTTACATGTTTTCTTTGCTTTTTTTGTGAAGAGAGATTTAGAGATTTTGAGTGATTATGTTTAATTGTTTTATCTTCAGTGTTTTCTCAGTAACTATGAGATTTAAGTTGAAAAAAATGAGTATTAAACTAGCAATAAACAAATAAGAAACTGACTTGAATGTACAACGAATGGATTTTTCAATCAAACTAAATAAACAAGTCTATATAGAAAATAACAGATTTCTATGTTGAACGAATGGATTTTTCGTTGTTTCTATGTTTTGTATAGCTTGTCTACTGCTTTATTGGGTGTTTCTATTCGATCTGCAGAGATGCGAAGTTTGTAGGTGCCTATTTAGTTGAATATCCTTTTTGTTCGCTGCATTTTGTGGCTGTATTTGGTCAAAGTGCTTGCTGGTTGTAGTGTTTTTGGTCTCTAGTTATTGTAACAGTTTCGCTCATGTTGGTCAGGGATGTGTACAGATCAAAAGTGTTGGTTAGCGGGTATCTCTTTTCTGGGTTGTAGTGTTGTTTGTAAGACGGTGTACCCTGTTCTTTTTAATATCTCTTCTTATTTATAGTACTACTCAAATCAAATGACAGTAGCAAATTAAGTAAATATGCACAATTGTGAGAAATAAACTTCAGAAAGAATATAATGCTATTTTAGAATGTAATAATAAAAACTGAAGTAGAGAGATGAATACAGTTAGGTTCTATATATATATTCATCTTAGACGTTAAAAATCTATACATGTTACTAAGGCTAGAAAAAGGAAAGGAATCAGAAATCAAATCCATGCAAATCCGTTCTATGACCCCTCACATAAGCTCTGTGAATCAGCATAAGATTATGCACAACCTATTACATAAAAGAGGGACCAGAATCAAATTTTTAAAGTGTGAAGCCCATTTGACAAGTAATCCAAGTTGAAAAAAAGACCCAAAATAATCTTGTCAAAAAGAAACAATTACCAGTATAGCATTTTATAGGGTGAGCTCGTTTTGCCCCAAGTAATTGTGTTCCTATGCTTTGTTCCAAGTAATTGTGTTCTACTTCATTTGGTAATTGGCCCCGGTTGGCTCCTCGAAGCTCCTTCAATCCATAAATTTTAACTAACATAAAAGCTTTAGTTTTAGCCATGCTGGATTTTTTTCTTTAAAATTATCGAATCGGGATCTTTCATGGTTCGTATGATATTCATGATTAACTCGTGTATCTGTTTTTCCCCCCTTAGAAAGTTGTATACCACATAAAGAATACATATGGACTAGCCAGAGATAACTAAGCACTGTCGCATTGTCTCCGTACAGCCTCATCGGAAGAAAATAATCCAGGAAATAATTCATAGATTACAAGCGTTCTACTTCATTTATTGACCATTTCTTGTTCTCTTCAGGGAATTCTTCTTGCTTTCTACAGGTCAAACAACCAAACAGCTAAAAGGATTATTTTCTACAGGATAATATTGTTTCTGACTATGTCCAATTCCTTTTTTTTTTAAGCTTTGTTTCTGATAATTGGTACTTAATCTGACAGAGATGGTGTGAGTGAAGGTCAATTCAGTCAAGCTTTACTCCATAAAGTGGTTTCTATTCGTAAAGTATTCAAAGGGTTATGTTTTGTGGTGTTTTGTAGAACAGTGTTATTTATTGGACAAAGTAGCTTCCATAAGTTTTTGAGTAAATCCTATCTAGACATTTAATAACAGCACTGTATTATAAATGTGTTTTAGTCTTTTACCATCTTTTGAATAAACCTTATCTATATGCCAACAGCAGCGTGTTAATGGAGTTGGTGATAATAGAGTTCACTTAGGCTTCTGACACTTTTAATTTTCTTCCTTCCTCTAGGCTTATGCCTCATTCGATGAAAACTATTCACCACCAGTTACGTTTGTTGTGTTTCAGAAGAGGTATATAGAGTTCGTATGATATTTTGAGTAGTTTTATAATAGTTATATACTACAGGTTTGCTTTTCGTGTTTACAAGAATGTGAAATTATATCCAGAAAGAGAAAGAATCTATACTAAATTTTATTGAACAATGTTGAAATATGTTATATTTCATTTTAATTTTATAAATTTTTTATTTTTTTCTACATGATTTGTGTCGTAATTAAATTTTAAGTTTATTTATTAGATAATACTACAGAATATTAAATTTAGGTATTATAAAGTAGAAAATGATATAAGCAAAATCAGTTAACATAGCAACATTTGCAAATAAACCACTAGAAGTCAGTTTCTTTTGCGACGTTTTGTGCAGGAAACGCCACTAATGACGTAAACATTTGTAATGTTTATGGTGGCATTTGACAAAATAAACGTCACTAAAGAAGGGTAAATAGGGGCATTTGATAATATAAATACCACTTAAGACAAGGTAATTATCTGTGTTTTAAAAGAAAAAGTCATTATAGAGCTTGACATTTTACGGCGTTTGTACCACTGTAAACCTTGACATTTTATGGCATTTTTTTGTTCACAAACGTCGCTAACTGTTGTGACATTGGTTTTAGCAGGGCTTTTATTGGTGTCGGGAAAGTATCAAAACAACCTTATTTTCAAATCAGGGTCTAATTGCTCTCTTAACCCTTCCTCTTTTGACCTCAAATAAAAAATATCATCATTTGAGATCAACTCAAGCCCAACCCCAAGTCATGCTCAACTCAAACTCTTCATGAAGGCCTACACAAATACTCTAAGCCCAAACGGTTTATTTAAAATGACTAATCTGGTATTCGGGTTGTTACAACTATCTTCTCATTTTTATTTTGATACTATAATTCAAAAAATTTAATTTAACTATTCAATTTTCTTGTTCATATTTTAATCACTCTAATTTATTTTATTAATAATTTTTATGACATGAATTTTTTTATTTTATTTTATCAATATATAATTAAAATAAAAAATAAATTTAAAAATCAAAGTGATTATATTAGGAGTAATTTAAAAGTTAAGTAATTAAATTAAAAAAATTAAATTTTAATGACCAAAATGAGAGTAAAAAGGTAATTGAGTTATGAATAATACAATTTACACTTAGAAAGGTAGCATGGACAACATTTACATTAAGCTTTTAACGGGACGATAACAAAATAAAACTGATAAATTAGACACAAAGTATATTTTAGATACTTAATTAAACGGCGCCGTTTGTACGTTTACTGCAACAAGAACAAACAAGACGCCATATCCGTTCTGTGATGTGTCTTTGTGTCCCTGGAAACGCAATCGAACTGCTTAATCTTAAAAAAGAACTGAAAAAGGTCGAGCCGAAACTTAAAGCCAATGACCATCTCTTGTCTGAGAGTATCGTTGGCTCCATGGATCACGAAAACGCCAAGGCCAAGGCCTCCTTTGAAATCAATACCATTTCGAATCCTTTGCACTGCTCAATCCTCTGTAGAAGAAAAGGAGCCGCCCCTCCCTCTCTCCGCCCCCAAATGGCAACCTTTTCGCAAGAAGAAGGTCGTCATAAGAGTCGGCTACGTCGGTACCGACTACAGAGGTCCTTTTTCACCCTTCCCTTCGCTTTTTTATCATTAAATAAACATAACCTAATCATTGAAATTCGTTTTGAATTTGTTTTCAATTCATCATTGCCAATTTGCCACTGTTTTTTCTTGTCTTTTACAGGTCTTCAGTTGCAGCGAGATGAACACGAGCTATCTAGTAAGCTTCTCTTTCCCTTCATTTGGTTGGAATTAAATTTATCTGTTTACTTTTGAAAATTATTGTCTAATTTCTTCTTTTTGGATAGCTTGGAAAAAAGGGTCTTTTTTTTGTTTGGAACTTAACTAGTATGAGGTGTGGAACATACTAAAGGTTGCAAATGTTGTATTGTAGCTGTTGAAAAAGAACTGGAAACTGCAATTTTCAAGGCTGGAGGAATCCGTGACAGTAACTACGGGAACCTGCACAAAATTGCCTGGGCCAGAAGCAGTCGAACCGATAAAGGAGTTAGTTTCTCGTTTGCATTTTGTATGTGATTGATTTGAGGTTGCTGGTTCTGAAACCTGTATTTTATATGAATATTTTAGGTTCACTCTTTGGCAACAATGATCTCCTTGAAATTGGAGATACCTGAAGATGCTTGGAAGGGAGATCCCAATGGCATTGCTCTGGCTAATTGCGTTAACTCTTATCTTCCGGATAATATTAGAGTCTTCGGTATATTACCTTCTCAAAGGTGAGAGCTTCAGTTTATTGTCTGCTTCTTTTTAGTTTCTACAGGAATAAAGTTCCCGATTTTCATGTCATTTTCTTTTGAGTTTTGCTTCATTTTCTATACATAGTTATTTAGTTTTTGCCCCTTCTTTCAGGAGTTTTGATCCTAGAAGGGAATGCAATCTCCGGAAATATTCGTACCTTCTACCAGCTGAAATCATTGGAATAAAGAGTCACTTCACAGAAGCTGAAACTAATTATCATATATCAGATTTCAACAGTGTGTTAAATTGTTTTGAGGTATCAATTGTTTTCTTTCTTTTACCCTTCTTCTTCTTGCCATCATTGACTCCCATTTGCTTTTTCTCAAAGGAGAGTGCATTCTGAATGGAATCAGTTGAAAACCACCTTTAATCTTTTGTTTCGCTTACGTTTGCCCCACATTAGACATTTATTTTAGTTCAGTGTTCTCTTATGATTCATTTTTCTGGTGTGTGTTTTGACGAATAATTTTGGGGGATATTTATTACTCATTCATGTCTATTATTTCAGTTATGCTAGAAATTGCTCTCTTGTCAATATTTACATCTTTTAGATACTTATTAGGGTGAACATCCTTTCCATAATTATACTCAAAGAGCCAAGTACAGAAGACGAGTTCCTCCAAGGCAAACTGCCAGAAATGGTCGTCCACCTAGAGTTAAATCTCATAGAGAAGCATCAACTTCCGAGTCGGATGAAAGTGATGTCGAAGAAGATTCCAGGATTAATGAAACAACTATGGTAAATAGTGAGGAAACGTCAAGTGGTATCGATGAACCTCTGGCTGGCTCTAGCGACAGTCGGGGCACTGGCTTGAAGGATCAAAAGCCCAAGGTAATTAAAGCAAGATGGTTATATGAACCTGATGAGTCTGATAGAATAACCGCTTCCCACTTTAGAAAAAATTTTCGTTGTTCTTGTGGAAAGCTGGAGAATTCAATGGGATTTGATTACGTTGAAATTTCCATATGGGGGGAGTCTTTCATGTTGCATCAGGTAAAGCTTTTTAAATCACTGAACTAGGAAGCATATGTATGTTGCTTAGGGTGGCATGCGCTTCTTTTCGCAATCTGTTTGACAAAGTCTATAACATTAAATGCTGTATATTGTGCAGATCCGCAAAATGGTCGGTACCGCCGTAGCTGTGAAGCGCAAGTTGCTCCCGAGAGATATTCTAACATTATCACTAGCCAAGTTCTCACGGATTGTCCTTCCACTTGCTCCCTCTGAAGTTCTGATTTTGAGGGGCAACACATTCATATTGAGGAATGTACCTGGTAGTGTAACAAGACCTGAAATGCTGACAATGGTTGAATCGGAAGAAATCCTCAAGGAAGTCGACAAGTTCTACTCACCTGTAATGTTACCACAAGTTTCGAAATTCTTGGACCCTTCCAAATCTCCCTGGAAAGAATGGGTTGAAAATTTAGATTTTAACACGGGCATTCCCGATTCGGAGTTGGATGAAGTCAGGAATGCTTGGAAGGAGTGGAAGGGAAAGTTTCCTGTTAGACAAACAACTTCTGCATCAGAAGTGAGCCTATAAAACAATGTAGTGCTCACACAAACGGATAATAAAGTTTTTTTTTTCTTCTTTCTTTCGACATGATGATAATGGACTGTCATTCTTTGTTACTCTGCCGGATCATATGAATCAAAAATCCTGAAAGTTCAGGGTATTGAAGTTGGAATTATGGCTTGGTCAGAAAACTTATTTGAGGTAATTGATGCAGGAAGGGATGATCACGGAAGTTCGGAAAAATCAGAAGGATCACCGGCGTTCTGCTAAGCTAGGATAATGCATACCCATTTCTATTTTTGGACCTGCAAGGTTTAGGATAATGCATCAGATTTTTTATTTTGGAGAATACGGTAAATGTTATAGTAATGTTGGAATTCGTCACCTGAAGGTGACGAATATATTTAAAAAATATTGTTTTAATGGACTCGGATGAGTGGATTCACGTGCGAGTTTCAACATCACTGTAGCATTTGCCGTATTTTCCAAAATAAAAATCTACTGCTCTAATAGGCTAAATAAAAAATCTGAATGAACTATTGAGCCAAAAAAACTTTATATTTGTGCAATTTTAGCCCAACAGTAGACAAACTAATTATTTAGTCCAATATGATACAAAGTAATTAATTTAGAGATCATTTGTTACATGAATTTGGAACTCGTGATGTCGATGTGACGAGTTTTAATAAAAATATTTTTTATTTAAATTTTTTTATCTCTGATGTGATAAAATTTAATAAAAAATTATATTTTATTAACATTTGTTATCTTGATATTATAAGTTTAAATAAAAATATTATTTAAATAAACCCATTACCTCATTGTAACGAGTTCCTTAAAAGATATAATAATTACTGTAGATCCAAAATAAACCTTTACATACTAGACTGATTAATAAAACTGTTTGTAAAAATAAAATAAAATAAAATAAACCATATTTGTTCTCTAAAAATAAAGGCTACAATTTTGCTATTAAAGCTTTTCTCACCCGATTCTGTACAAGCAGAAGAATTAGAAAGATTAGTTAAAGTCTTAAAACCCTCATCTCCCAAACCAAAAACCCAAAACCTCTTTGCAAGCAAAATTAACCGCAACCAATAAATCCTCATGGCCAGTAACGGCGAAAGCTCTTCAGCAACGCCCCAATCGACGGCCGATAAGCCTGTGATTGTTAGGGTTAAGCGCAAAGTCTCCCAGTCTCGTCTCGATGCTTTCTGTATGTTATTTCTTTTATCTTACCCTTTTTTTGTTTTCTTTTGCTGCCAATATAAATTTAAATGCAATTCTGAAACTTCAAGGAACACTTTTTGTGTCTTTTACAGGGCTCGAAATCAATGAGCGACCTTTGAAACGCCCCTTTTCTGATTTTCAGAATCTATCGATATCGGAATCGTCCCAAAAAGGTTTTTAGTTCTTTTATTTTCTTTAAAAGAAGTTAGGAAGGATCGTTCTTAATTTGCATGTTCCGTAATTCAAAAATCTTCTAAAACTGACGCGATGATGTTGTTCTGTATTAGAGGAATTGAAGAGTAAGAAGGTATTTGTGCAGCATGTTGATACAGTTGAAAGCTCTCGGGATACAGTTGATATTGTGCAATCTTTTATGGTAAGTAGTGATCAAATGCTGTAAATATGTGTACTGTTTTTCTTTATCCTGTTCTTTTGATAGAGTCTTCTTTTTGAAGGTCCTTTTTTGTTTTAAATTATTGTCATTTACTTCTGCATTCAAGGAAGCTCTAACTGCGGGTTTCTGTTACAGCCAAATTCTGCTGATGCTACTAATGGTCAGACAAGGAGTCAGGAAGGAAGGCGCCATCAGAAAACTGATTATGTAATCACTCATACTGTTTTGTTTCACGCAACACAATCATGGTTGCTCCCTTAAATTTGCTGGTGATTCTTGTCTCTCCTTTATGTAGCCTAATGTTTTGACATTTTGATTTTATTGTCTGCAGCGGCAAGAGCAGCTATCTAAATCCATCCAAAAGCAAGTGGTAATTTAATGTTCGGCAATGGTGTCCTAATTCATTTTGAAAAGATTGTCATCATCGTTTTGTTTTTGTCTATCTGATAGCAATTGCTGATTTGTCTATGATTCAAACATATTGTTAAAATCTAGATTTATGAAATGTGTCTAAGCATGGAATAATGCCTTGTAAACTCCATTTGTTTATACCCTTCACTATAATCTTACCTTTTTGTTGAAATTACTGTCATCTTAAATAATTACTTTACTACTGATAGCAGAATACCAATTGAGCACATTTACTGGTGTATGTGGAAATGCTTCTCACTGGGTAACAAACTAAAGTGGGACAAGTTGCTGGTGTTGCTAAGAGAACCAAACTGACCAAGTTTGCTTAGAGTTACTCTTTTCCTTGTAGAAACTTGTTCATATTATTGTTTTAATCCAAAATATGGAGAATCTGAACAATCTTAAGAAGTTTGTCTGCATCAAGTACAATTTTAAACAGGAGCTAAGCAGCTTACTGCATTATTTGGATCCTATGTCTGTGGTTAACACAACCAGCTATCTTGTGATGTAGGGAAAAAGGATTTGTTTTTTGCTTTTACTTTCATATTCTTGTAGTTTTATGGGGTCTGTTGTCTCAGGAAAATGCAAAACGTGCTCGTTTTGAACAAATATGGAGGAGCAGAAGAGGTAAAAAAGAGGCGGTTGATGAAATGTGCCATTTCTACGATGTTGTTCGTGTTGATGTTGAAGAAAAGTCTAATAGCATGCAATTTGAGTACGTTTTTCTTAAAATTTATTTAACTTGTTGTATGTTAAAGAATTATTGTGAAACAGATTAAGTTGCCTTGATTTTTACTGCAGAGAGAGATCCTTGGAGGATCAAAAGCTTTTGTCAGGTTATTTGCCTTTATTGAAAAAGTTCATCCCTGAAGCTGTTGCCGGATTTGAATCCGATATGCGAGAATATGTGTTTGGAAAAGGTTGTGAACTGTGAATTTGTTTTTTAATGAAGAACCACTATTTACTGCACTATGTCTGGCCTTTAAGCTGCTATTGTTTTTGGCTTTAAATTTCAATATTGTTTGATCTTTCAAATTCAAATGGGTTTTATGCAGTTGATTTCATTGGTTTCCCCCGCAATGCTGTTTCATTAGAGAATTAGTATTATTGGTGTCCTCTTTAGAACGTCAGTGTAGCTGATATTTGGTTTATGTTCTTGAGACCATCTGATGTGTTATTTCCTTTTCTATTTAACATGCAGAACAATATGTGTATGACTACTACACTGTGAAGGATGATCCGGATGTAGATGAGGATATGGCTTCAAATCCATTCCCACTGTGAGTATATGTTACTTAGTCAGTTATTTCATCTCTCTCTCTCTCTCTCTCTCTCTCAACACATATTGAAAGTGATGCATGATCTTGTTGCAGGGTGCAGGTGGATGATGAGGATTTCTATGATGTGCCATATGAGTCAGAATATGATAGCGAAGATTCAAACGGTAATCTTTAGAGTCTAGTCTTTGTCACCAAATTCTGGGGATATTTGTATGACTTGTATATTCTTTTTGGTGTTTGCAGCTGAAGATAATCCAAGAAATGATTATCCTGATGAAATATCTGATGAGGAAGAAGAGGATGAAGATGAGGATGAGGAGAGTAAATCCTCTAGCAGTATCAAGTCTTCAGAAGTTGGGAGCCCGGGAGGCTATGATGAAGACCTTCTATATGACGTTGATTCATGTGATGACGATGATCTTGGTCATGGTAATAGTGATGACGATACCGACGGTGCAGATTGGAGATGGTCTTACAGGTGAAATCTGAACTTAGTTGGCAAGTAGAGTTATTTGTTTGGAGATCATGTTAGATTGTTTTGTTTTATGTTAAACCCTGTTCATAATTAGTATGAATTAATTATGACAATGCATGTTAAGGTACATGGTTACTTGAGCAGCTTTCAAAGTGAATTTAGATATGGTTGTTGGTACCCAACTTTATGTTATTAAATCATAATGAACAGTCGTGAGTAGGCTTGTAAATGAACTGAACGCTCAGCGAACCGTTCATGAACCGTGCGGCGGGAAGTTCGTTTATGACATGAACAAGATTTTGCGTTCGTTTAATTAAATGAACGAACATGAACAAAGTGCTCGTTCGTTCATTTACGTTCGTGAACGTTCGATTATATGTTCGTTCATTTATGCTCGTTCATTTACGTTCGTTCATTTATGCTCGTTCATTTATATTCGAATAGAGGGCAAGTTGAATATGTTACGAAGATTATTGAAGTTGTTTGGATTTCAAGAAGATTATTTTGTTGAACAAATTAACTTTAAGACTTTATTATGTTCATATAGCTTATTTATGATTTATGTATGTTTTTGTCGTATTTGAACAAATTAACTCTAAAGTTACAGGTTATATTAATGAATCTTAAGTTGTTATTCTTGTTGTTTACTTTTTTTTACATTCGTTTGTTGTGTTCGAATAAGTTTTTTTTGTGTTGTTCATTTATGTCCGTTCGTTCTTATTCATTTATGTTCGTTTATTTATTAAATGAACGAACATGAACAAAAAAAAATTTATTCGTTTATGTTCGTGTTCGTTTATTTATTAAATGAACGAACATGAACATACCTTCGTTCGTGTGCGTTCGGTTCGTTTACAGGGTCTAGTCGTGAGGGAAATGTTTACCTATAGATAAAAACGTGTTCCATATTAATATTATAAAACCTGTGTGAAGCTTATTTTAGAAGTCGGTCATTACAGATCCAAACTTAGGTTTTGCTTTGTCATTTTGGTGTCACAATTCATGAATATATACCCCATATTAAACGTGATTCTTAGCTCCGCATCATTGTTTCGCTGAAGCCGAATTCATACGCAACAATTTATTTAATGCTCTGCTTAGCTTGCAGTTGCAGGCAAACTGTCTTAAGAAAAGAAATCAATGTTTTTTTTCATTAATAAAATCCTTAAAACAACGTATTGAAGATGCTAAACCCGACGGAGCATCAAAAGAGATATATATATATATTGAAATGGAGAAGAGGGTGAAAATTGTAGTTTTTATTATTATTAATATATAACGATTATAATGTAGTATTTGTTTTAAAGATCTTAACTAAATGAATATTAATATACCTTTGTAAAGGTTATGCTCGAATTCAATATCTCGGATAATAATCATGTAATGCTAGTAACTTAAATTTATTGTAGTTGATAAATAAAACAATATATTCCTAATGATATGGTAAATTCAACTTAAACAGGTAAATTACTTTATCCAGAATGGCCAATTAATTAGGTGATGAATTGTTTCTTAAGAAACAAACATACTGATACAGGAGAATATCAAATCTTTTCCTACTCCACTAACTCTTAATTTAACATAAAATAAGATAATCTTAAGCTGATCAGAATCAATACTCCTGTATCAACATTTTCATATATAAGACGTTCATACTGCAAATCACAAAACATTTTAATAACTCAATCTTAATATATCATTTTCACGACAGTTTTTTTTTTCATTTACCTACCGATTAATATTGTTAGTTTGGAGGGAAATTGGTCTTTCGGTCATTAAAAAAAAGGAACTAAATTTGTAAGAATTTTTTTTTTGATTCATTCTGGAAGAAATTTAAATCTATTTCACGGGCTTAATTTTGAGTTAGTATTTTTTGTATGAATCACCAGTATTTTTTTTATTAATCTTATCTATCATCCATTTAATTCTGTTTATAAAAAATTTCAGCCCCATTAATTTTCACAACCCTAAATAATAACAATAAATCAAAATTTTAAAAGAATTAATTTAATGAAATTAGGGACCAAATTGCAAGTTTTTAGAACTTGCAGGCCATTTTAGGAAGCTAAAGGACATTCAGGGACTTATCCCTAAATTTACTCATTTTCTGTTGGCAGAAAAAAAATAAAGAAATTAAGCTGATTCTGCAGAGGGTCGAATCCATGCCCCCAGGTAAGGCAGCCTACACCCCTGCCATCAAAGTTAGGTTCTTATTTATGTTTTAATTAATAAAATATATATTTTATTATAATTTTGATAGGTGTTAACCCATAAAAAACATGTTCGGGAACCAAATACCCAAACCATAAACAAAACAACCCCACTGTCGCCCCTCCAACCAGACCCTCCAGTCGGCGGTTGAGTGCATCGTCGTTGTCATCGGCCTCAGTAACGGCCAACAATACAACCCCAACCCTCAGATCACATGAGCCGACTACTGTTAGGCGTGAAATCATGAAGACCCGTCCTACTCACCCTTTTCGATTCGACACTGTCATTCATCCGTTGAAGACACTGTCGACGCCAATTAAAGTGCCGCCTCAATCCGATCGTAACCAAGTCGGTCACTTGTCAAGTGGTCACGCCATTCGCCGGGACCGAACGGCTAAAGCTTCGCCGGGATAAGTCAAGGCTTCCCTTGGTTTCTTACGTTTTACGACCGCCACGGCTGTCCCCTTACCTCACCACCGCCACCACTACACACCTTTCCTCCTTGAGCTCAAAACCCATCCCTTGGGTTAAGTCGTCGTCGCTATTTTCCTCCATCGCCGGCGTGGGTAAGCGTTTCGGCCATTTGATTTTGTTTCCGATGCTTTTAGTTGATTTTGAGTATTGATATGGCTTGATATTGAGGTTTGGATGCTCTCAGAGTAGTAGATTGTTGTTCCAGGCCCTGTCACCGCCGTCATGTGCCACCATATGTCGTCGCGTGTGCGTGGGGCTCCTCCTCTGGCTTGGAATATCCTAGAAACGATTCGAGTCAACTCGAACCGGTCCGAGTCAACCGAATCGACCTGAGTCAACTCGAATCGGTCTGGCCCATTGACCTTAACTCGAATCGCTAACTTTGACCTGATCGTTGACTTTGACTTTGACCAGAAAGTCAAAATTTCTAAAAAGTCATATTTTATATTTTTCGACGTCCTGAGTCTGAATCCGAAGTCTATTTCGCCAAATTCAATCCCGGTAAGTTGTTTTCGACATTTTATCTCCGGATTGAATACGAATTTTCACGTTTAGGCTTCGTTTATAATATGATTGGTTTTTCAATGTATCCAAGACATCATAGGATGTGAAATTAAAGTTCTAGGGCGATAAAATGGAGTTTAATTGGTTAACCAGTGTGGCTCGTAAATCTAGGTAACACTCCGCTATCTTTTGTATGCTTTTTGGAACTCATTGATAATTGGTAAATGGATGAATGTAAATGATGTGTATTTAATTATCAATGGACTTAAAATGAATATGGAATAAAGACATAACATTGTATAAAACTCAGACGGCTCGCAAAAGAAATTGGTAGATCGATCGAAAATAATTTAAAATTTAGTGATTAGTTAGTAAATAAATTGACCTCGGGATCCAATTAATTTCTTTAAAGGTTAAATATCAGGAATACTTGTCTAAGAAATTACAAAAATAGCTCTATGGAGTAAAATTACAAAAATGCCCTTGTACTATTAAAAGACCAAAATTTCCCCTGAACATAAAAAATAACACAAAAATAACATACTTGACCAAATTACCAGAAAAAATGCATATGTTTGGATTGAAAATAATTACTAAAATGTCATCGAGCTGCGAAATAACTAAAATAACCTATGATATTTAAATGACTAAAATGCCCCTAAACCCTAAAAGGATTAGAATACCTTGAACTC